ATTTTAATGTAAACAAAACTAACAAACCAAACTTCGTCCTAAAAGGGTGCAATTCACTCTTAGTTGGGGGGATATTACTAATCATGCATGAGCTTCCAAGTTAATCTCTAGAGATTCTTGTTGGAAGAAAATAGTGCAAACACAGAGAGAAAGACTAGCTTCCTTTTCACAAAAGACATGCCAGACTAATTATGATAAAAATGACTGGTACTATCCTTAATATTTTCAAGAATGCTGCACAAGGCATGGTAAGCCAAGGGTGATAACCTAGCAGTCACATCAAAAGGTGTTATGTGAAAATTCTGGTCCACAAGTTATGAAAAATGACATAAGTTAACATCTGCAGAAAGTGACTGAAACAAAATTTAAGAGAAATAAATTATAAATAGCCCATATCAGCAAGCATAATGTAAGAAGGAGAACTGATCCATATTTGTGAGACTAAGAGAAATGGGAAGGATGTACTGGATTTGAGTGGAAGAGGTTTAATCTTCCGGGAGGAATTGATGAACACAAAGATCACGACAGAAGCAAAGATGCAGGTCTGATTATGAATGACTGAACTAAAATATATTTCAGAAAACAAAGCGCTGCGTACAAAAGTAGGGTGACACTTGTATGTTACGTTTCTCTGAATGTTGGCAATATCACAACAACTGATAAATTTGAAGAAAATCCACAACATAATGGGATCTTCTAGGTAATGTGACTAAAATGAGAAAACACTAGAACAAATAATTGGGCCATTCGGGGATATGAGAATGGATATTGGTGTGTATCCACTTAAAAACGATCTGTTGAAAAGTATGAGTGCTTTGTTTATGATGAATACAAGGAAAGTACTGAAAGATAAAAGATAATAAGGATTCTGAGTGTGGGAGAGATCTTTTTCTGTAGAACCAACAGTGAACCTTGGAAAACAATGAAAATTTTAAAATATTCGAAAGCAGCAAATGTTATAACAGAACAAATACACGAAAAGAAAATGCAAATCCAATATTGAGAAGTGTTAGAGACAGATTAATCTTCCAACTAAATAACAAAAGAGAGGACATAAGATTTGGAAACAGCTTGTAACAGATGGAGAAGAAATATGTTACAGGGCCCAAGAATAATATGGAGTTATGCTAATGAGATCCACAAAAAAGCACTCATGAGGGAACAAAGTGAATTTTAGATATGCTATATCTAAAGGAATACAGAACTGAAAATTAATATATTTAACATCCAGTTATTTGTTATACATTTGACAAAGAAACAATGAAATTATGCACCTGATGAAATATTTACTAAGGTAGGTGTAATGAAGAAAATTTAAAGCAAACAAATATTGTTAGAAAGGCAGTGTATAGTACACAATGAACTGGAATATTTGTCAAAAGAAACAAAAATGATTTTGTAGAAGAGCTTATCTGAAAGGGAACATCATGACAAAATCCATGTAAAAATACTTTGGCTACAGAAAGTATTCACACTTTCTGTTAACAGGATAATATATTAACTGCCGAAGCAAAACTATATTCAAACAATCTTACCTCTGTATCCCAAGAATCCTGAAAGATAGAATTTCGGCTACCACGTTTAGTTTGTGGAACTGGCCCATCCTCCTCTATGCCATTTCGTCTCCTCTTCCTGCAGCAAAAATTGGAGAGCAGTAGAATTAGTTCATACTTTCAGAAGATACAATTACGGCTAACATACAGTTTAAAAGTATTCATTTTTTCCCCCATCTTCCCATTGCTACAAAGGAATCAGATATTAAACCCAGAAGAAAGCCATATCAAAAGGTGCAATTTATCCTTTATTTAACCTTTCCAGCTTGGCTACCTGCGCTGACGTGGGATATGTGTGTGTGTGTGTGTGTGTTTGTGGCAGATGCACGCAGGTGCACAGCTTCATTTGTAAAAATGACACATGCACACAACCTTCACTCACAAATGAAGCTGCGCTCGCATCGCGCCAAAGCTCCAATTGTGTGACAGGCACTTGCACGCGAAACTCAACTTACATGAGTGGAGGGCGCCTGGCTCGCACATGAAGCTCTACTCGCACAAGCACCCTCCGCTCACACCAGTGGAATTTGAGGAGTGAGCGCTTGCCCAGTTCTCCTGCTGCTCAGTTTTGAACAGATTGGTAGTGGACTGTAGACTGGAGGGCCCTGCTGTAAAGCATCTTTCATTATCCTATTCTAGTTTAAAAATCATGTACAGATTAATTATCTTTTAATGTTAAAGTTTAAACTTCATCTAGGTGCTTAGTAATCTCAATGCAGTGCTCAAAAATCATCTCAGCAGCAAACATTTTTAAATGAAACTTATCCTGAATGGAATGTCTGGCAATGAAAAATAGTTACAGGTGGTTCTCGATTTACAACCACTTAGTGACTATTCAAAGTTACAGCGCTGAAAAAAACAACTCATGACTATTTTCCCCACTTATAACCATTGCAGCATCCCCATGGTCACATGATCAAAATTCAGACGCTGGGCAACTGCCTCATATTTATGACAGTTGCAGTGTCCCTGAGTCGTGCGATCACCTTTTGCGATCTTCTGACAAGCAAAGTCCATGGAGAAGCCAGATTCACTAAACAACCGTGTGATTAACTTAATAACTGCACATGGTCACAGGAACAAAATTTGGATGCTTGGCAACTGGCTCATATCTATGATGGTTTCAGTGTCCTGGGATCATGTATTCACCTTTTGCGATCTTCTGACAAGCCAACGGGGGAGCCAGATTCATTTAACAACCATATTACTAAAAAACTGCAGTGATTCACTTACCAATTGTGGCAAGAAATGTCATAAAATGGAGCAAAACTCACTTCACAAACATTTTGCTTAGCAACAAAATTTTTGGGCTCAATTGTAGTCATAAGTTGAGAATTACCTGTATATTTCTCAACTTAATGGTCTTCTATTAGGTTATCAGGATTTATTTTATTTGTTACAAATGTCAGACAGGTATAATGAGTGTTAGTTTAAGTCCAAAGCAAACACATTTTTTGAGAAAAACATTTTCTGTTTTTAAATGAGCATAAGTTCCATATGGATATTCTTTAAGATGTCCTTTGTTAAAGACAATGCTCAAAAGCACCAATATATCTCATACAATATTTCAGAAGGGTTCACGAAATGAAGATTATTCATAAACAAACATTCTTTAGATGTTCTAAAAGATTGAAGCAAAATGAAGTTACACTAGAGCCTTCAAAGGTTTGGTAGATATATAAAAATATTCAGCCCTTCAATTTGACAGCTTCTTTGTCTTGTTTATATAGTTATTGAATGAGAATATTTTTAAAGGGAGATATTGTAATTTTGAAAATTATTTCATTTTCCAATTATGAACAGTAAATCCTTACATATTGAATAGCCCAATGACTATTTTTTTCTGGGATTTCTCAAATATGCAACCATCATAAACTATCAAGCTGTACAAAATCTTAGTATCAGGCAATGAACTAATAAAGCAGTATATTGTGATTTGAAACAGGCATTAGGTTTTGACAGAAATGCATTTACAAGTATTGCATAGATGGGCCTAATGTGCTACACCAACATATACATGTTCTCATAAATAACATCAGAGTAGCACAGCTGCTAAATAGGATTCCATTGCAACCCTATGAGCTATATCTCCATTTTTAATCTCAACTCAGCCATAAATTCACTGGGTGGCTTTTAGAAAAATTACAAACCTCTTCTTTCTACATTCAAACTTTTACATGTGGCAATTTTGTAATAATAATTCAAGGCCGGTTTTACAAGGCCTTAAAGAATGGCCGAGAAAGCTGTTAAGTTAGATTGGCTTCTGAGAAACTTCAGGGTCAAATTTCTATTTCTGTCAAGTTGACAGAAAGACCTCAGCTCAAGCAGAGTTTCTTGATGTAATCTACCTACTAGTGTTCCTGCAAAAAAAAGAGAGAGAGCGAGAGAGTATATATCAGCCTAAACTACTTCAAGGAAAAATAAAACATTCTTTTAAAAAAGCAGCAGTAGCAGCAGCACAACCAAAATGGCCAGTACCCTGGATTATTATTACCAGTATTATTTTCTCTTTTTTTCATTAAACATGAAACTCAAGTCAACTGAATATTTAAAAATGTTATCACAAATATTATTAACTGGCACTGATGGTTGCTGCCAGCATCCTAGGTATCGACCAAGTAATTATTATTGTTGTCCTCGTCGTTATTTTTACAAGGGAAAGATCGAAAAAAGAGGAAAATGTGAGGTGACTATTTAAGCCAAACCCGAGTCGAAGCGAGACGGCCCATGTTAGCCTTGAGCCTTTCCCATCGCCTAATTGTACCCCACTTCCCAGACTCCCCAGCCAGCTCATAAGGAGCGAGACGCCTGCGGGTGGACGATTTTGGGAAACTGTCGTTCCGACAACATTGAGGAAAGGAAGACGGCAATCCAGATTTTCCGGCCAGAAGTCGCAGCTGACGCGAAGGCCGGAGGCAATGTCCACGGCAATGACTACACAATCGCCACCGGGGAGCCCCTCCGCTCGCCAGGCGTCCCGGCCCTGCTACTCCCAGCTTGGTCGCCTTCGCCCTCGGCTTTTCTGCCCGCGGCTGCTTCAAGTCTCCCTCCTCCCCCAACTTCCCCGAGGCCATCCCGTTTTCCGCGCCCGCTCACCTCTGTCTCGCTCCTCGTTCGCCGGGCAGCGGCCCACGGCAACTCATGGCCGGGCTGAACCCCAGTCCGCTCGGGCTCCAAGCAGCGAAGACGGCAAGGCCCCTCCCCCCACCGCGATCCGGCTCCCAAACAACCTTCCCCCCTTCCACCCGCCTCTTCCTTCTTTCTCTCAAGCCTAGCACACTCCCCTTCCGGTGTGCACGCCTCCTGCGCAAGCGCACGAAGGAGCGCGGCCGGGACCACCTCAAGGCCAGAGACGCTCTCGCCTTTGCTTGCGCATCGGCGGTGAGGCCCACGAAGCCGTGACTCTAGAGCGCATGTGCGTCAAGGCGACGGATGACGCGTGCGGCGCAGGCGCCGTCGTCCAACTTGACTCGGGCTCCGCTCGTGGGGGAAGGTCAAAGGTTTCAATTCCGCCGGAGGGGCGTTTGATTGTCGTTTCCAACCGTTGGATTCGTGAGCTGCTTGCTTTATCAACCGTAGCTGAGTTCGAGTTCAGCGCGGTTTCCTCCTGAGTAAAACCTTTCTTCGCTTGCGGCTTTTTATTCCCAGGAGGGAACCCATTTTCTGAGTAAGCATTATGTGGGATTGAACGAGTTTTCCTCCGAAGGAAAGTGATGGATCGGAGCTTTTTTCGAAGTAAATGGCCCTGGATGGGCATCTGTGACGTCGATTCTTGCCAGAAGAGACTGGATCGTAGGAACTTTTATTGATGAATTGCTGTTTTAAGCAATTTTAAAAAATATTACTATATACTTTTATTCTTTAAACATGAAAGCCAACTGAACATTTAAAAATTATCAGAAATGTTATTGTCTGGCACCGGTTGCTGCTAGGTATCGACTAAGTTATTATTATTTAAGCCATGTGAGTCTGTTCTTTAGGTTCTTCCAAATGATTGATCGGTGGGGTTCTAGGTAAAATATATTTGTGGTAGGTCAATAGTACAGTAAACATACTATAGATGATGATAGGAATTGTGTTCTTTAAAATCTGTTTTAATAGAAGATGGGAGAAATGTTCTACACTTTTTAAAATATAAACACAAGCTTCAAAGTATCTCTATAGTGTATGCTTATGTACTATTTTGCACAATAATATCTGAATGAAAAATGAAAAGACCAAATGTGTTGGAAAAAGTGAGGCAATGATTATTTCTGGCATTTGAACCATTCTATATCCTTGGTACAAGTTCAACTGGTATTAAGCTCTTCCCAAATTTTCATTCAGGCAAGTTTTTCTTAACTCTGCCTGTTCTTCCAATGTCTGGTTCCATTTTCTTTTTCAGGTAGAAAAATGGCTGGCAACTCACCACAAATACAAATCTGCCCCTACTGCGGAAAGCAGTTTAAACGTCTCAAGTCTCACCTGCCTCACTGTAAGATGGCAGGTAGTGAAGATTCAAGAGAAGCTTTGCCTCTCAAAAAAGCTTGTGATTCTGAGCGGCTAAGTACTGAGAAAAAGAAAAAGATCAGAAGCTTAGAAGCTTCCCCCGAAGAAGAAAGCAAAAAGAGTAAAACTGACTTGGTAACAAAAAAAGGAAGAAGAAAAAATATTGGAGTAACTGAAACAGTTGTAAACAGCAACCTGCCTAAAGATAAAGATACAGAAAAGAAAATTAAAAGTGCTAGTGAAAAGTCTCCTCAAACAAGGGAAAATAAACAAAAAACTTCAGAAGAGCTTTCAGCACCAGTAGATTTGTTTCCAAAAACAAATCTTCCAGAGAAGTTATCCACAGTCGAAAAAAACAATAGAATTTCTTTACTTAAAGAAGAGATAATACCTGGTCTTAGTTTAGAATCACTGACACAAAGTGGAAAAGCCACTTCAGAACCACATCAAAAACCCTGCACAAAACAGAACGTAGAGTCACCTGGAGAGCAGCATGCATCCCTTTCAACAAATAATTTCATTGAGAGTCTTCAACCAATACATCAAGGACTTGGTCGCAGAATAGAACAGATCACTGCCTCTCATCATGTGACAGCATTAGAAAACAGATATGAATCCTCTAGTCATAGTTTGTCAAATGAAAATATCCTTGATAACAGTAAAACAGGACAGTGGCCTCTGAAATCAGTGTCAGCAGAAGCAAACATTGCTTTGGCCAATAGGCAGCAAATTATTACAGGCAATGTGGACAAGAAGAACATTTTAGAACTTGAAGGAAATTTCAAAAATCAAAGTACAGAAAATGACATATTCACAATTAAAGGATGCACATCACAGGGCCATGTTGTTGTAGACAGCTATGGAAAGGTTACCAGAGATCCAGTCCACTTGTTTAAAAGTAAGTTAAATGCAAATTCGTTATTTTTGAAAGCAGAGGATTATCCTAAGGAACACCTAATTGATCCAGATCCTAGGCCAAATGTTTGTCATACATTCACAGAAATTCTCAGAGAAATGAAAGTTGATAAAACTTCTAGCTACTTAAGTGCTTTAGAGAAAAATACATATTTGTGCTCAAGAGCCTTTGAGACAAAAGAAGGTAAAAATTCAGTGATGAGTTTGAGAAAACCCTCACTCCAAAAGTTAAAAATGACTTCTTTTCCAGAACAAAGCATAAAACAGTCTTCATTAGGACTGGAGTGGTTCTCTGAACTGTATCCCAATTACCAGAGGCTGGGCTTACTTTTAAAGAGGCAATCAGAATGGGATACCAAAATATCAGAAGCTCACGTTCTGCTTTGTGGCAATCACAAAGGTAAAAGTTTTAAATTGCACAGAAATCAGAGAAGGAACATAGCTGCTCAATAGACTGTTTCAAATGGATATTAATTCATGTATGGTTTATGCTGTAAGAGAGACAAATACAGGTAGTCTTCAACTTATGACCACAATTGAGCCCAAAATTTATGTTGCTAAGTGAGAAATCTGTTAAATGAATTTTGCCCCATTTTACGACTTTTGTTTCCATATTTGTTAATTGAATCACGGCAGTTGTTAAATTAGCAACACAGTTGTTAAGTGAATCTGGTTCCCCCACTGACTTTTCTTGTCAGAAGGTTGCAAAAGGAGATCACATGAGCCCGGAATGCTGAAATGGTCGTAAGTGTGAAAAATGGTCATAACTCATTTTTTTCAGTGCTGTTATAACTTTGAACCGCCACTAAGCGAACTGTTGTGAGTTGAGGACTCTCTGTATTGATGTGCATAGTATAAGTTACTGTTCGATAGAATCAGTGTATTCCCTGAGGCATATTTAATTTCAGTTTGTCAGTTAGCCTAAATTGAATTCGTTGTGCAAGGGCAAACTAGGACATTCTTTGAAATAGCATTCTTTAAATTGGGATTTATTTAAGAGGCTGAGAATGTTGTTCTAAGCCCCTCCTTGAGAGATGGAATGGCTGTTAAATAGATGCATGTGTAACTTAAGTATATGTCTCTTTGCATTTTTTGTCCTTATATATAGCAGAATACTTGTGTGCACAGAAACATTTTCACATACTTTGGGAATGCAAGCAAACTACCTGTAGAATCTATATAAAAATCCTTAAAAATGTTTTGAGATATTTTATGCTTAACATATAATGCTGTGTTTCAGAGTATATTCTTTAGCACCGAGTGTAGGGGTGTCAAACTCAATTTCATTGAGGGCCGCATCAGGGTTGTGTTTGACCTGGGGGGGACATGGCCAGTTCAATATCACGCATGTTGGGGGCGTCTGTGGATGCCTGAGCACTCTGCTAGTGAAAATGGGCTCTGTTTTCAACTGCGATGGCCTCCTGCAAAACAGAGCTCAGAAGGGCCGCATGCAGTCTTCCCAAGTTCCATTTTTTGCTGGCAGAGGCATAGCGGGCTGGTCCTTTGCTGTTTCCAGTGCGGTCCCATGGGCCAAATCTAAGCACCCCGCAGGCCGGATCCAGCCCCTGGGCCTTGAGTGTGAAACTCCTGACCTAGTGCAAAATATATGCTATTAAGCGATTAAAATTGAATCCTGGGAATCAAATATTGTTAATAGAATGTACAGGCACACTGAAATAATGCATAGTAATAAAATAAATCCTAAAACAACCTATAGATAGGATAATATTTTACATGTCTGAATGTATAAGATATTGCAAATGTGGTTCTGTTTGATGCATTGTGCTAGGCCAAAGCATATTTATCCATGACTTATTAAATAACCTACCATTCTCTGCACATGCCAAACCAAAGCCACATAAGCTACATTGTAGCTTGGCATATAATCACAGAGCCACACTTTTTCCTGCTACGGGCATGGCAAATTTCTAGAAGAAACCACTCTACATAGCAATAGCACTTAGACTTATGTACCGCTTCACAGTGCTTTACAGCCCTCTCTAAATGATTTACAGAGTCAGTCTATTGCCCCAACAATCTGGGTCCTCTTACCCACCTTGGAAGGATGGAAGGCTGAGTCAACCTTGAGCCTGGTGGGATTTGAACTGCCAAATTGCAGGCAGCCAGTAGTCAGCAGAAGTAACCTGAAGTACAGCACTAACCACTGCACCACCAAGGCTCTTATGGATTGTAATGAACAAAATTGAGGATCAGATTATGTTGGTTTAGTTTTTTTAAACCAGTTATATTACAAGGAAACGAGAAAAAACATTCTTTTTTTCTGCCAAAATGTTCTACACTGTTGCTTCCCTGCAAAAAACAGCATGAAAATGGTTTCTTTAGACATCCTGCTTTCTAGGTGCAGAGATTACTTTTATTCATAATATATCCCCTTGGTTAACTATTGTTCTGATCACAAAATGTATATTGGAAGAATCTTAAGATAGAGATGCTCTATCAAAACACTGTTCTAAGCCCCAACAGCCAGATTTGCACTTTAGGTGGGACATTTCATGCTTACAACAAATTAGAGTGAAATGAACTTTAATTGTACCTATTCAGAAGTGCAATTTAAATCTTTTTTAAGCTTGCTTTTGCTGTTCTTTGCAAGGTAGGATATTGTAATTCAAATATTATCTTGCAAGCCAACATACTGCTGTCTGCATCCTCACCGACTAGAATACACATGCAAATGAACTGACACAAATTCAGAATGTTAGGAACCATAGTCTATTCACTGACCATCCATTTTCTTATTAAACTAACTAAAAATAAATGCACGTATTCCCATGTACATTATAGCTTAAATTGGAGGGAAGCACCAAATATTCTACCAGGAAATACTACAGTACATTGGTGTACCTAGGAAGAAATGAAAATAGGTGCTATAGTCAGCCTTGGAAAGTTGAAAAGAGGGCTTGCATAAAATATAAACTAACATCATTCTAACTGTTCTGTCTCCCAGTTCCTCTGCCAGAAAAGAATCTAAAGGTTATCAAACCTCAGGGTCTGCCACAGAGGATACTTGAAGCAACATTCAGAGGTGAGAGGAAGTTGCATTCTGCTTTGAAACGGATAAAAGCTTTGTTATAATAACCAGGGACTAGCAGGGGAAGATGGCTGGAGTCTAACTTTTGTTGTGAATGATAAAGGAAGTATCATTTTGCTTGTATTTCATAAAACTACTTGTTCTTCAATAGCCTGGAACGGATACTTGAACAGGAACATTAATGTGAAAAAGTATGGATTGCCTGGGATTTCTCTGATGCTGCTGGGCTTGTGTACCTTTGGCTATGCTTGGAGAGATCACATTAGTAAGTGTTTCTTCCCTTGTATTTACAATTTTATCAGAAAAATGGATTATATGAGTGTTGATAGGTTTGGACTTGGAAATGGGTTAAGTCTGTATATGTCAGTGGCTGGATTTGACTCTAAGCCTTTAGTTATTGAAAATACCTTGCATTATTTTTGAAAGCCATAATTTTTTTAGTTATAGTTTGTTGAATATGCCCTATTGAGTAGATTTATACATTTACGAGAAACGTAAGTCATAATTTAAAAACTGCAAGTATTAATTCCTAAGCCAAACCCAAACATAACACATAGCTTGGTGTGGTGTACAAAATAGTTTGAATTCTAAGTTTTACTGCATAAATACATAATTATTATAACTTGGATACTTTCACAAAGCAGAATTATGCTATTCTGTTTGAAAGTAAGATCTTGAGTTTTAGCCGAGTTTTACTCCCAACATTGGATGGTGCTTTAGGTATTTATATTTATTTGATATTAGGGAAAATCAACAGGGAAGTTAAATTGATGTAGATATATCTGTGCTACAATGCATATCATTACTATAATAACTCTTTTGTCTTTTGTTCCTGCTCCTGTAGAATTTAAGCAGAGGAACTACCCAGATGAAGATGCAACAGTATAAATATTATGCATTTGCATACTGCTCAATCATGCAACTGGCCAGTAAAATGGATATTATTTGTGCTGCAGAAGTAACATGACAGTATTTTGACTAGTCACTTGGGATCTCTTTAGAAATGGTAACCTCCTGTGGTATGTTGGTTAAAAAAAAAAACAATCTCGTAATCCTGGCTTTATTCTTGGGCAGGATCTGATGTCCATTTTGCACCATCTGCAGTGTTTATTTGAGACTCCTTTTGACCCACAGAATGTAATTAGTGGAGAAAGTGCTCTCTGGGCTGTCCTCTGCCACCTGGGTCCTCTGTAAGTGCTGGGAGTGGAAGAGCACAGCGGGCCACATCCAGGAAATGGTTTCAGTGGACCATAGTGGGGGAAGACAAGACATCCCACTAGGGTACATTAGGGCTTGATTTTCTTCCCTGTCCTGTTAAACATTCATGTGGAAGTGCTGGGAGAGATTCTCTGTTGGTTTGGTATGATGCCACCAGTATGCTGATGAGCCATAACTCTTCATTACACTGGAAGCTTAACTGGGGGAGTTGTGGAAGTCCTGACTTGAATGGAACAAAACTGACTGAATTGAAATCCAACAAGACAGAGTTGGGTTTATTGTGAGGCAGGTGGTTCCTTATAGCAGCGGTCCCCAATCTTTGTGGCTTGGTAGCCTGGCTGGGGGGGCCCTGTGACTGGTGGGCCAGTGTAGCGTGCACCCCTTGCACCAGCACTGGGCTGGTGCACATGTGCACAAATGCCTGCCAGTCTACCACTTGTGCAGGTTGAGCCACACACGTGTGCAAGCTCTGGCCAGCCACTCATGCAACCCAATTCTGAATACGCCATGGCCCGGTAGTGGGCCACAGCTTGGAGGTTGGGGGCCCCTGCCTTATAGAGCCAGGCTGTAAGCCCTTTTAGTTTTGAATTCTGAGACCAACTTTTTGAACCAGATATATGGAGAAAATAATTACCAAGATCTTTGCATTCTAGAGTAATCTTCACTGTTTTCATCTAGCTGCTACAGACAGAACTTTCCAGGTGCTTTACAGATAGTTGTATATTTGGTATTTTGCAATGGCTTCGGTATTATGTAACCAAAATGTAACTGTTTCCAAAACAGTCTTTTTCTAGGAGTGGCTGTTATGCAAATACAGACCTTACTATTGCTGTCCCCTTGAAAGTCCAGTCACAACACTGAATCAAAGAACACTCCTGTCTGCACATTAGCAGTAGCATAGCTTCCATCTCAAATAATTCAAATCAAGAGAGCCAAACTTTCAGCTAACCATCAGCATTGCCATTTTGTGGAATTCATTTCGGTTTGTTCTTTAATTCAGCTTATTTTGCTCAGGCAACCTGCCAGTCACTTCCTTGTATTAAATCTTGAAAAATGAGATACTTGGGCCCAGCAGCTTCCTGTAGCTATTAAATAAGAAATACTTCCAGAGGATTCTGTCTTATTTCCAACCACTCAAGTGTGTATTACAGTGGTTAGCCCAGCTGAAATAGGTTCATTTCATGGGCTCATTTTAGCCCAAATATCAGTGTCATTCAGCTAAAGATTTGAGACAAGTGTATTTGGGGAAGCATGGAATCCATCTCCAGATACAGAAAAGGAATAATTTTTCGTTGTATTTGAAGGTAACGATTGTGCATTCCAGCACTTTATTACCACCTACCATCAGGCCCATTACTTGCTTCCGATTCAGTTGTCATGATGCATCAATGTTAGCGCCAGTGAGCATCTTACAAAGAAAGTGGTGCATGTTTGTTACAATATTTGGCCTGTACAGCACAATATTTTGGTTGCCTCTTTGACTACTTGACGGGTCAGGTGGTTGTTTTTTTTTTAAGAAAATTTTATTGATTTTAAAAACAAGCAAACAAAACAAAACATCATTAGACATTAAAAACATAAAACCTCTTTCCATTATAAATCTTTACAAGGCAGGTAACACATTATTTTATATCACATACTTATAATTTATTCCATTCCATGTAGACACGTAAATTCCCTTTAACAAATTTCACATTATTTCTCTTTACTTTTATTCAATCACATTTCTAATTTATCTGCTATTCAATCATCACATTTATATTTTCCTCTGGCTTGTTTACAATTGTTCTCATCTGGCCTTCCTCCGAGATTTTATTAATTCTCAATTAAACACACACACATAAAACACAAAAACATAAAACTTCCTTTTAGAAAGTAACTTGGCCCCAGATTACCTCTTTTTGTATGGACTTCAATTAAATTCATGCTCTTCTTATATACCATTACCTATCTTGTTTACCGTTCTATATCTTCCATATAACTCCTCCCCACTTTTCCCTCTTCTTAATTCTATTTTATATATTTCATCTTGCTTTAAGACAATATTTTTATATCTTTTGTCCATTTTTCCATTTACATCTATCTCATTCCCAACATAAAAAAAGGATAATTTCCCCTGAAGTCACTAATCAGAGTATGATGCCTTTCTATCATTCCCCTAAATTAAAGTTTGAAATAACACCTAAGTCCCAATCTGATTCTGCTTAGTACATTCTACTATTTCAAAAACAAATACTACAATAATAAATCTATAATAATCAACACATTAGCCCATTAAACTCTATATTTAAACTAATATTTTAAACATTTCCTTTAATATCTTATTAAAACTTAAAATCATTATTAAACATTTTAACATTATACCTTAATATTTTAATCTTTTGTTAAATCTTATAGAATTCTAATTGTCTATTTTTAATACAAATACAACTGCTACAATACTATCATGTGTACTTTGCAGAATCCCCTTTTTTTTTTAAAAAAAACCATACATTACCCTTTGTCCCTAAAAAAAAATTTCTTTTTCCCATCTTGTTTTATACCTTTGTAACTTTTTTCCCCCTTTTCCCTTTCTTTCTTGGCCCACCTAGACTTTTTACCCCTCCTCTCCAAACCTCTGCCTTCTTGGCTTCCCCTTTCTGTTGCATTCTTCTTTCCTTTTGCTTTCTGGCATTATATTGTTTTTGCATCTTATTTTTCTCTTTCATAAATATTTTTTTATTTCTTAAGTCCTTCCTTTTCCCTCCTCTCTTTCTCCTTTCTTTCTTAATCACACATTTAATTCATTAAAAATGGCTTCTTCTTCCTCCGTTTCTTCCAGCTGTTGTTTAATTTGCTGACACATAGCAAGCGCCATATCTAGAAAACAAAGAGCTTCTCCCATAGCGTCCTTGCCTTCTTTCCTTATTTTTAGATATTGTTTTTTTAGTTCATCGAGAGATAGAGCCATTATAAACTTTTTCTTCTTTCTGCATCCTTCTCTTATTAAGCCAATCAAATATTTCCAAACTTAAAACAATCCCCCAAAGTCATCAAACAGTCCAGGCAAAGCACAAACTTCTTCCTTTTACAGTTTCTCTTCCTGGGGTAAAGTCAATTAGGGGAAAAAACCCAATCTGTATTTTAAATCTTTTTTGCAGTTAGCTTCTAATCTCTATCTTCAAAGCATCTTCTCCAACAAAGTCTTAAAATATTTTTTTTCCCCCAAGCCTCTCCCTTCCCACTTGTAACAAAGGGCTTTAAGTTTTTACCTTCTGTTAGAAAGCAGTTTTTCCATATCCATTTGTTAATTCCATAAGGGAGGGAGAGTAACTTTCCCTTTCAACACTTTCCTTTGCCACTGAAAACCTCCATTGGGAACATTGTAGCATCCAAAAAGAATAGTAATTTTCCAGGTATTAGATATGTCCTTAAAGTCCCGGTTCAGCCAAGAAAAAACTTTCATTTTAAAACTTCCTTCTTCTTCCCCCTGCACATTCTTAATCCAGTTGCCAGCTTCTTTGTGGCGGCCATTAAGACCGCCGCTCCACTGCCTTGAGAAAAGGGGGTTATTGCTAGCTGGGGAGGGGGTCTGCAATACCCCTCAACCCCGGGTTAGATGGTTTTTCTAATGTCAGTGTGCATGATTCATTGGAAGAAAGGATTAAGCAAGACAGCCACCTTCTTAAGGCCTGTGTCAAGCAAGCATCACTACCCTCAGAGGTCTCAGCTCAAGGTAGGTGTAGCTGGGAAGATGAAACTCAGGAGACCCTCTGGGTAGTGCTTTCACTGCCATCCGTTAGCCCAGAAAGGTGGTTGATTCTGTCTCAGGGATATCTTGAAGGATTTGCTGCTTACATTGAGATAATACCTGCAAATCTGGCCAACTACATTGCAGAGTCGCCTTGCGGCAAGATGGGCAGCAAATAATTTTATAAGCAAATTTAATAAAGATTCAGTTCCTATCATCTACTTGGTACATTATAGATCTTATTCAGATATAAACACAGTATACGGAACAGGTACAGCCTAGCACTCTTGGAAGTAGGACCACCTGTCCAGAAATAAGGCAGTTTCTTCTGGAACATTGCCCCAGGAAAGCAGGAGCAATCTCACTTCCTTGACTTCTGATAAAGTGGCTTTCTGTGACTTGCTACACCCTTTATGACTGTGAATGAAGAAGGGCCCCTCTTGGCAACTCTTGTAGGAAAATGAATGACATGCTTCAAAAATTCCAAATAAACTTAGTGGTGCCCAAATGTTGCCTCTTCACTATAGACAATGTCCTACTGTAGTTAAACTGGTGGGTTTATCAAATCAATCATGACGCAGGATAGGGGTAGCAGGTGAACTGCTTTTTTTCTTAGAGCTTAAGAAGGAAAGCACAAATGGATTCAATCAATGCCATGTTGAACAGATACCATCAAATAATCAATAGTATTACAACAATGATTTTTAAAATATTACAGCAGAGAAGTAACATTAATAATACAGTATAGTACTTCTGGAGAAAGAAATCCATGCCATTAAGCACGGTAACTCAAATGTCCTTTGATCGGAACCTTGTTTGTAGAGACAAAAGCACTTTTTTAAAACCAAAGCTGATTTTTTTTTGTACAAAAATAACTCTGGGTTTATTTTCCACTTTAGAATTAGCTATAGTAACCTCATACCCTCATTTAATTGACAATAGTTGGGAAGTTTTGTGCTCATCTTGACTGTTTAAGAGAATTTGGTTGAATTGAATTGCATCTGGCACAATGTATTTTATCATTTAGGTTTTTTTTTTTTTCATTTCAGGAGTAATATCTGTACATTGATTAAATAAAGAAATAAGTGTGCATAGATTTCAAATAACTTGACTCTGCTTAGGACTTAATACTGCCAGAAGGTCAATCTGTGAAGCACAAGAGGTGGGCCAGGCAGAAGTCTAGGCCCACTTAATGATTTGGTCCCCTGTTGGCTGCCCATCTTCGGTCATCCTTCTACAGGCTTTCTAGGATAGCCTCCCCCAAGTATTAATATTCATATTTATTAAATTTCAGATGCCATAACGTGCAGTCATAATGGTCAGGTTCTTAGAGCAGCAAAGCAATAACAATAGTGACATTAAAACCAATCAATAGAATGTCTTAAAATTATGGACTTAAAATAAATGTGAAGGACCTAAATGTTTTCATATGTAGCTGTCAGTACATTTCCGGGATCAACCTTCAGGATGACAATCACTTAGAAAAGAATTGCAAACTATTATGTTATTTATATTTTTGTAAAATAAACATTTTGGATTTTCTATTGTTAACTTTAGTAATAAAATTAATAAAATGCCTTTTTCTAAATCTGTTTTTGTCACATCTTGTTTGTTTCATTATTATTACCGCTATTTTTTGTATGATTTTTTATTTGCATGTTAATTGCTCGGCGTCTAGCAGGGCTCAGTGTCTCTAGCATGGCTCTAGCAAATGCTATTAAATAAATGACTGAAGTCACAATAAACAAATAGAATTCAACACAGTAGTAAAGTCACAGATAAACATGATCTAGTATAAAACATAATGCAGATGAAATACTAAAATCACTGTTAGTAACGAGTTATACCATAGCAATGAAAGTGTAGAAAATAATAGAAATGTTAGAAATCCAAAATATTGGCATGCCAAAGAAAAGTCAGCAAGATGAACACCAGGCTGCCTTCCCTTGGGAAAGCATTTTAGAGTTGGGACTGCCACTGCATGGAAAGCCATGGTTAAAATATTGACTTAATGTACCATATTTTTCAGAGTATCTGGAGTATAAGATGCACATTGTAAAATACTGCCTAGTTAAGGTCCTTCTTGAAAGAACAGAGACATTACTTGAAGAAATAGGATTTCAATCAATTAACGAAGTTGAAAGCCTGTGAACAATTCTGTTGATCTCAGATGATCTGCTTGCAGAAATATAACTGAAAAGAATACATGGCATTTATGTACTGCCTTAAATAAGAGAATTATGTGTTACATGCCAGTCAAAAACGATCATCTAACCCAGTGGTTCCCAAACTTTTTCAGTCCACCACCCCCTTGGTGCTACAAACTCATCCTCGGTGTCCCCTACCCAGGGGTGGGATTCAAATTTCTCTGGGCGTGGCCTAATTTGAGGGTGTGGCTTGCTGGTCACGTGGCTGGCTAGTGTAGCTTGCTGGCTGGGCATGGCTTGCTGGTCACATGACGGGGTAGGTGTGATTTGGTGGTCATGTGACTGGGTGGGTGTGGCCAGGTGACTGGCAAACCAAATACAAGTGATCCTCACTTAATGGCTCATTGTTTAGCTATGACTGGCCTTCCCAGAGATACTTGACCCATTTTTGGAGTTTTGACAGCCATGCACACACATACACACGCACTCCCTTCTAACCCTGCTGGAGCAGGACATTGCACTAGAATCAGCAAAGCATCTCTAGATTCTAGCAGTGAATAAAATCTAATCAGAGATGCTTTGCCGATTCTTGTTGATTTGTTTTATTTGTATCTCTTTATGTTGCTGAATTGCATTGACATGTGTGTCCCTTCTTGTACACAACCCAGAAGCTTTTGTGATTCTTTGCAGCAAAAATTACCGACCTCTGGCTTTGCTCTACTTTTCAAACATGCCGACACTGCTGCGTTCTAGGTGCCGGCCCCACAGGTCGGCACCCCCCCATTGAGCCCATTGCACTGGAGGGACCTGCCCAAGCAAGTCAAGTCAGTGGGGTGAGCCTGGGAGAGGGAAAGAGAAAGAAGAGAGAGAGAGAGAGAGAGGAAGTAAAGAAAGAGAAAAGGGAAAGAAAGAAAAAGGGACAAAGAAAGGGGGGATGGAAGGAAGGGACAGAAAGAAAAAGAAAGGAGGAGGGAGGAGAAAGTGAACGAGACATCTATTCTAGTCCAATCACCTGCTCCAGCAGGGTTAGAAGGGAGTGTGTGCTTGTGTATGTTCTTGTAATTTACCAGTACATTTTGGTTTTGCCTTCTACAGAATTGGCACTGATACATTGGGGAAAAGTAATTTTTAGAATGGAGATCTGGTCCAATGAATCCTGTTTAAAGCCTCAACAAAATGTGAGAGCTTCCTGATAGTCTTGACCATGTTTTGTCCACAAAACCTTTAATAGAAGCCAAAGATGTTTCAATGTGCTGGCAAAGATGTTTCAATGTGGTGCATTTCAATCTGATGCATCAGGTCTCTCTCTCTCTCTCTCTCCCGGCACCCTCCCAGACTGGCTTTGCTCAACTTTCCCAATGTGCCTGCAAGGCTGGCGCTTTGAATATGGATAGCTGGATGGATAGAGACAGAGACAGAGAGAGACAGGTAGGTAGGTAGATAGATTGGTAGACAGGTAGGTAGATAGGCAGGCAGGCCTTTTGGATGAATGTATGGATAGGTAGGTAGGTAGATCTATATTGGTAGGTAGGCAGGTAGGTAGATAAGTAGGTAGGCAGGAAGGTAGGCAGACAGACACTTTGGATGTATGTAAGATAGATGATAGATAGATAGATAGATAGATAGATAGATAGATAGATAGATAGATAGATCTATATTGGTAGATAGGTAGGTAGGTAGACAGAAAGGCAGGCAGACAGACAGGAAGACCTTTTGTATATGTATGTACGTATGGATGGACAGACAGAAAGAATGACTGTGACAGCAGTGGCACTTTGAGAAAGTAGAGCAAAGCCAGAGTGGGAACTGAAGTCCACACAAGTTGCCAAGGTTGAGAAACACGGGCTGAATATATCAACCCAGCCATTCTGGTTTAGAGTTTAGCATTCTGTTTGATTCCGGCTTAGTCAATGACTAAACCATGGCTAAGATCTTCCTGATCCTTAATGCAGCTGCCCCTCTGCCCCTTCTCCAGCCCCCTTTGGCATCCAATTTTGCAATGCCAACCTCCCCGGGGCAGCGATGCAGCCGACCTCACCCTCTTTGCTTCAACCGAAGGTCCACTTCCATCGGGCCAAGCAAGGGGACGTACTCTGCACACGCTCAGAGACTCCCAACTTCAGTGAAGCGTTCCGCCCATCTGTATGCTCCGCCCGGGCGGAGAAAGGCATGCGGAAGCAGCCCAGACCAGGGGAGGCGGAGGAAACGATCGCTTGGAAACTAAGCAAGCAAGCACAGGGCTCGGTCGGAAGAACCGGGCTGCAGAGGGAGGCTAGGTTCTAGGTCCGGGACGGCCACGTACAGCCGAACCGAACCGAACCGAGCCACGCGCTTTGGAAAGCTGCAGCTGCACCCATCCGCATCCTGCGCGCAAGCCCGGCCGGCTGGAGAGGCGCAGGCCGGGCGGGCTCCCTTGTTCTCCGGGGAAGGGGGCCCCCAGACCACCCACCCCTTCCACTGCACGCCTTGGGAGGGTTTTGCTTTCGGGCCTTCTGGCATGCCTCCACCGCTTTCATCGGAGAGGGCAGCCTGCAAGCTAAGGCGCCCTCTTTCCACCACCTCCCCCCCCCCCCCCCCCCCCCCCCCCGCCCCCCCGCTCGGCAAGTCTCACCGCGCGCGGGTTCCACATTCGAGGTGCCGGCTACGGAGCCATGTAACAGTCAATGGGCTGCGTGGCCGGCAGTCAGTGAGCCTGCAGGGCCGGCCCCCTTGCCTCTTACCGCCCCCCTAAGGCATCCCACCGCCTCCCAGGGGGCGGCACCGCCCATTTTGGGAACCACTGATCTAACCCAATACATATAGGAGCTTACATAAGACCCCAAACTGGCATATAGTGTGTAATTTTGCTTTCTTCAAAGGTTCAAGTTACAGTAGAAGACTTCCCTTTTATCTGAAGGTGCAGACATAGCCTGCTGTATTGGCTACTTAGGAAACAGCAGATTGAATCTCTCATTCAGTAGTTTATAAAGGCCCTCTCTAACCAGAGGCTGCTTTTATTTGTTCCTAAAACAATGGATCAGTGTCCCAGACTAGCATTTCTGTTGTAATGAGGATTAAGCATAGGATAGATCCTGCATTGTCTGCTTATGTATTTGCTTACACAACAGGGAGCGGACTCTGGCACTCTGGAAGAGTGGAGATACAGCCTTAATATCATTTGACATTTCTCTTTACAAATCAGTCCATTATCATTTCTAAGCTACATTTATACATACCAGATACAGGCCATTCCCTTTCCCTGTCATTTGCATTATACTGTTAGGACAGATTCGAAACTTGCTTACATAAAGATTTCAGGCCATTGTAAACCAACACATCACAAGGAAAGCCTGAGACAAGTCACATTTTTAATGGCTCCAATCACTGAAACCCAACTCTTATTAGCCTTGCCATGACAACAGGCTTAGTCACTCAAGTGCCAAGAGGAACACAGAGATCAGGTTTGACTCTCCCTAGAGGACAGAAGGCAGGGTCAGTTTGGACCTCCCACATTCCCATTGTGTTGCACCTTGAGCACTGTGAGGCTTCATAGATTAAGGCAGGTTGCACAAGAATTGGAGGATTGTACCACAGGCAGTTAAGGTCAAGGCTGGAGTAGAAACAGCTGCAGGTGGATGAGATACAGTTTGATAAACCACTGCCATATGCTGGTATACCCAAAGCGTATAATCTTTTAATATTAAGAATCTGTACGTGTTGATACCATTTAGTGGAGAGAAGTGGGAGCTGTCATTCTTTGGACAGCTCTGTAGTTAGGATAATTTTTTGAGCAGCTTGTAAAACAAGGGAAAAAGAAAAACTTGCAGTAAAATGTTGGGTGTCCCTGAAAGGAATGCTATTGCCTCATGTTTCAGTTTACTGTGGTCTTGGATGACGCCAGGCAGGCAGACAGAATTATGGCTCACCAAGCTGAATATCGAAATTCTGTTGGTCTCAATACAAGAGTTCAAGGTTGAACTGTGGAGGTCTTGGTGCTCTCTAAGCTTGTTTATTTGCAGATGTTTCATTATCCAGCTAGATAACATTATCAGTTGAAATGTGTATGTGTGAGGGGGGAAGGAGGGTTGTTGCTTATTTATACTGCCTTGAAGTTTTGGAAGAGGTTTAGTTTATGGTCTACCAGTGAGTTACAGTAACTTGCTATAAGGTTCAAATGCTTTATAGATTGCAACTACCGACAGTCAAAATTATATGTAGACCTTGGTTCAGTGTCATCAGCCTGTATGACTTGGCAGTTCTTATAGTCTTCCATATATTCCTCCAAAAGTAATGTTTTGTTAGCTATTGGGATTCAAACCATTCAAAGTTCCAAACAGGGACCTTGCTCAGTGTAATATTGCTAGAACCTTATATCCAGTCAATGTTTTGGATTACAATTCCCCTCCCAACTGCCAATGCTGCCTGGGGTTTATGGGAAAACCACTTCCATGAACTATTGCTGAATGGAGGCAGGATATGAGTACCAGGCCAAATTACATATAAGTGACATAATGAAGTGAAGCTTTTGTTGCCCCAGGGTGTTGACAGCAAAGATTCTGATCAAGCTGGTAGACAACTACAGCCAGAATGAAGTAAACAAGGTAAAGAAGATACGAAAAGAAGAAAAAGCTAACATCACAGAACAGGGATGGCCTTCCAGATTTTATTTAACTAGTTCTTCTCAGTCCTAGCCCACTTGGTCAATGATGAAAGTATTTAAATTATTTGGTTAAAAATTTATAGAAAGGATAAGTGTATAGGGATTGTTATTTTTCCACAACAAAGATGCAGGATCAGAAAAATGTACCGCTGCACTTTAAATCTTCTGCCATTCAGGTGTTTTTAACTAGCCAACTTTATATGAGAATGTTGAATCATCTGGTTACTGTCTCCTTTCAATTCCCAAGCACACACAAAAAATTCACATTTAAAATGACTGTTTTCCTCACTATAGTTTAATTTCCTTGCATTTGAAAACAAACATTTGTCTTTTTTTTTAAAAAAAATCCTCCATCAGATGCATGGAACAAATACCATGTACATACACAAGAAAGTCACAACCAAGGAATACTTCTCCGAAAGGACTGGGCCAATCTAATACATAGCACATATATATTTATATATATATATAAATCTAAAAAAAATAAGAAAGCAATTTAGTGTTTAACGCCCAGCAAAAATGTAAAGGCCAATGAAGAAAAATACCCCCACCCACCAGCCCTAAATAAAATCCATCTTTGAGACAGGAATGTTAGGAGCACCTCCTAAAGATGCCTGGAGAAGGTAGTGAACTAAAAACAGTTTCAAAGGGAAGGGAACTCAGCATTGCCCTTCTCCATTGTTCCTGGAATGACGAATGCTAAGCTTTTTGTGCTTCGGTCAGTTCTGCTGATACATTCTAAAGAAAATAAAAACTAAGAAAGAATGAAGCCCTATCTGGTTAAGTTACTTGGGGGACTTACATTTACATCTGAAGACATGCAAGTAAGTAGCATTCACCCAACTCTGTCTCTCTCTCCTGTCCCCGTATCCCATGGTTTGATCTAATGAAACAGATGGTCATTAGGACATCCCATCTGCTTACCCAAAAGAAATTCCTGAAGAGGAAAGTAAATAAGTAATGGGTAGCCAGGCTGACCAACCTTGTTGGATATTCTCATCTCAGCAGCTTTATGCATCTCCGAGAGTGCTTTCCTAAGAAAGAGCCATATAGTCACTCTAAATGGTGACAAATTTTAGAAATGGGGAAGTCCGTTTCAAGCTAGGTTATCATTTTTATTCTTTCCATCTCTGGTTCCCTCAAGAACTAAGAAAGGGTCCTGCTGTAGACGGTAGACATAAGAGGTGTAGTTCTTCTCAATCTCTTTTCCAAAGTGTTCTGCCATATGATTTAAAAAAAAAAGAAATATGAGATTTCCAAAGGTGATAAATACTTCCAGAGGTCTGCCCACAAGGAGAAAATTATTAGCATCCAAATATGCAGATTTGAAAGATCTGGTTATTTCAAACTCCTTTTTTTCCCCTTTCTGCAAACATGTAACAACCTGCATACTACTGTAAGGTCCAGAAAGGAATTCTTGGATATACAAAAGAAAAAAAAATCTTACAAGCACTAGTATAAAGGTAAAGGAAAACAAAATATATATCTATGTATTAATAGAAAAACTAGTGCTTTTGAGCTTTGTCCTAATATTCAGCTCTGTATTGCTTTAAACAGGCAAATAGGTAAGTTAACCAAGAGCTACCCTTTTCAAAAAAAAAAGTTTGAATATGTCAGATTTGTGCCTGGAAACATTTCTTCCCAAATATCTTCAAGCAACCTACTTTAGGTATCCCTATGAACATAGGAATAAATTATTTTAAATATACAACACCATTTATACGTAATTTCCAACTTGACCCTTGCAATAACCCCAAATGGGGAAGAAGGAAAAAAACTTTCCAGCAGCCTGGGTTTAAGAAAATAATTATGATGAAATCTACAGCCTAAGAAGGCTGGTGAAGACATTTAACACTTTTTTTCCCTCTCTTCGTATCGTGCTGTTTATTCCAGATTCAATTGCATTTTCTCCTTCAATTCAAAGGGAGTATACAGCTTTTTTATACTCTTATCTCATCATCTTCCTCATCCATGAAAGAGAACTCTTTCTCTGGCTGTTTCACAAGGTTGTGCCTCCCACTGCTTGGAAGGCTGTGGCTGGGTCCTTTAGAAGCTAAGCTTCGCTGTTCTTCCCCCATGGACACGCAGCTGGAGACCGAACTGCTGTCTATTGTTGTATGACTGGTGACGCTGCGAGCCGATCCAGGGCTGTAAGTGACTACTCGGTGGCCGTCGTTTTGAATCACAGAATCCAGGACAAGTTTGCTTTCGTGGCTATACCACCGGGCTGCTGACGTCTCTGTGGAGCCAACTTCTCTTTGGGGATCCTCTGCTCCCTGATAACCAGAGTCCTCTTGTTCCCACAAATCCTTATCCATAATGCTCAAGACGTCCCCTAACATGGAAGGCCCCAGATCAATATGGAAAGAAAGGATGGACTCGGCGTGCTTCATGCCATAGCTGTCCTTGGGGATGACTAAAGGCAAATCAGTCACATTCCCAAAATCACGCTCTTCCAAGTCAGGACTGTGGGGCTTGGAGTCGAGGAATTCAGCAATGCCATTTGTGTGTTTCTCTTCGAGGATGTTCTCCTCGGGGGCTTTCTTCACAGGGCTGGAGGAGAGGCTCTTGGGTAGCTGCTTCCTGCCACTCTTGTCTGCTTCCTTCTCCGTGAGTTGGGGTAGGGATACTGCATTCTTCACAAAAATCGCTGAATCCCTCAGAGAGCCCAGCATGTCCCGCCGGTCACGTGTCACAGAATGAGACCGCTTGCTGCTGCGGAACCTCCGTGAGAGCAGGCCAGGCTTAGGGAAGGAGGCGGTCTCCTCTGTAGCTTCCTCTTCTCCCTCCCCACTCTTGCTAGTGAGGAAAGAGGTATCTCCAAAGGCATCCCCAGCCCGGCCCACATGCATGGTGTGACGGAAATCGCCAAGAGGAGCGCTGATCATCTCAGTTGTCAGATCAGCCCGAGACCGGCGTTTAGGATTTGCAGAGTTTGTCACCAGCTGCTTCAATATAGGCATTTTTGTGAGAAGTGTGAAATTGGATTACACGTAGATCAAATAATATTTCTGTAGTCCCTCAGGAAGTCCTCAAACTTCTTTTGGCCTTCTATTAGTCCAAGCCTAAAACTTTAAAAAGAGAGAAATGTTACAATGCAGCTGAAAAAGGGAAATGCCAACTTCATTTTTGTAACTATAGGAGAAGCAATTTCTTGCTTCTCTTAACTTTTCGCTTTTATCATTGGGAAGACTATTTTGGAAGATTGATAGCTGAACATTCTTGCAAGGCCACTGCTCTCTTTCCTGTAGGCAGGTCGTCCTTAACCTACAACCACAATAGTGCCAAAATTTGAGGGTTTTTTTTAATTACAATTTTTCTTGCCATAGTTGTTAAATGAACCACTGCAGTTGTTAAGTTAGTAATACAGTTAAGTGAATTAGGTGAATCAGGCCCCATAGAGTTTGCTTGTCAGGAGGTTTCAAAAGGGGACCACATGACCCCAGAACACTGCAACCATCATAAATACATGCCAGTTGCAAAATCTCCGAATTTTGATCATGTGAACATGGGGATGTTACAATGGTCATAAGTGTGAAAAAACAGGTTGTAAATTATATATATATATTTTTAATGCTGCGGTAACTTCAAACTTCAGTCAGTAATGAATGGTTGTAATCAAGGACTACCTGTACAAGACATACAGAAATTGTTTTCAGAAATTTCTCCCTAAAAAAAGTGGGCCTAGTTGATTACGCTTTACAATGAGAACAAGACTACAGGATCATAGCTTTAGAGGTCAGTGGCAATGAAGATTCTGTATGTAATCATGGTTCAACATGGGCATTTAAACACTAACTCGCCACCCTCCCTTGCAGGAATCTCCCTTGCAGGAATCTCCCTTGCAGGAATCTCCCTTGCAGGAATTCTTATTTACTTGGAAATAGGATTTGCTTGCTGCATAGCAATCTGAAACCAAATACATATTTAAGTGCCCACCAGGTTGATGAAAGGAGAGCTGAGGTGTATGGTCACAAGAGAACTGAAGAATATTTAAGACATGCTTTCCTATTCTTCTTTAAAGCACACCTCGGCTCATTCATTTGTGAAACTCTCTCCATTTTTGGTACCTAATTTCCCCTGAAAGTGTAAGTTTGTCTCGCAACAAATTAGTATTTTCTCAATTTGTGTGTCCAAAAGGCAATTCTATTCAAAAAATATTTGGCTGTTACGGAGATCAACTTTAGCCATAAATAGTTACGTTCCAAGTATTGCTATTTTTCTTAGAGATCTTGCTTCTGCTTTGCTTTGTGGATAAACCGGTTTACAGATATTTTAATAGGCCTGACCTTACAAAAGATGGTACCAAAAGATGGTATCGGTTAGGTAGCATTGGATAATGCCAATGTCATCATTTATGGTGAGTAATATTTCTGCCACATACCATGCCTAGTGCTGTTCATAGCCTTTTGTTATGTAAATTTTCTTAGGATGGCTTAAGACTGCATGGAAAGCTTTGATTTGTTCTATATACTAACTTCTTTAAACTGCTTCAATATTTAAAATTTTGTAATTTTTTTTTAAAAGATGTACTCTTCCCATTCAATCAGTCAGTCAGTTTGTCTTTAAAAAGATCGGTTTTCCACTAGAACAACAATGTCCAGAACATAAATGTTGCTGGCAGCAAATATAGACTTGCATCAAAGAAAAAGCATACATAGTTGGCGGAGAAATTATCCTAGCCCTCAGTCCAATTCCATCAGTTAGTAGTAAACTATTAGTAGTGGATCAAACCTTCACTCCACTTGTACCAAGTTATCTCCAGTTCCGCTGAAGCAGTTCATGAAGGGTATCAATCATGGGCAGTCCCACTGACAAAAAACAATCCTATATTTTTCAAAAATTAAACAGATAATGATCCGACGCAGCTTAGCATTTGGATATTAAATTAATTTGACAAGAGAACCATGACTTAAAGATAAGTGCGCAAATTTAAAAAAAGGTCAATCCATAAACTAAGTGGATTCATGAACACTGTTATGCCATTCTTCTAGCTTCTTCATTTCAGAAGGCAGGGAAAATGAAGTACAACAAGTAATTATGGAAAGCATACTCCATAATAAGTCACATAATCAGTGTCTGAAACCAATATCCAGCAATAAAATTAACCAAAGATTATCGTCCATTGTGCTTATTAATAGCAATGTTACCAGTTAGTTCAGAACTACGTTCCACAGGCCCTTCTTCCCAGATTAAATATTGCCATCTGGTGGGACCTATGAAGATGCCTTTTCTGTAGCGGCCCTAGCCAGGATCTTGGTAGCATCTCTACATACTTGGTCTTGTTAGGTCTTAAAGACCTGGCTCTTCCTCCAGCATGGGAGAGAGTGAAATGGGAGCCTGTGGATGGCTTGTTGGGCGCATCCCAGGAGGATGGATTAGGTACCTTTTTAAATAAAAAATAAAAAAAAATCATTTTTAAATTGTTTTGTAGTTTTACTGTTGTTGCTAGCCACCCAGAGCTGTGCTTTAAGAATGAACGGCCATCCAGATAATTCTTGTTTACTATATGTTCAACAACCATTTGAAAATACAATGGAACTAAAAATTTATGGCCAGTCCTCAAACCTGCAGCCCTCATAGCAGCCTATAGTCACACGATCGCCGTTTGCAACTTTCACAGCCAGCTTCTGACAAGCAAAGTCAATGAAGAAGCTGGCAGGAAGTAGCAAGGTCACATGACATCAGGCTTAACAACCACAAGTGGAGCTGGCATTGTAAGCTGGGTTGTCTTATCAGTCATGTGGCGTTTTACTTTACGATCACATTGTCTAGCGACAGAATTGCCAGTCCCAATTGCAGCTGATACGTAAAGATACCTGTACAGTAATCTTTTAAATAAATAAAACCCACTTTGGTGTACTTAAGACTTAAGTGAGATAAAAGTTTCTATCTGTGCCAATCCAAATCACTTTTTTTTCAATCCTGAAAGAATGCCTGAGACAGGTTAGCCAAATTGTGTCAGGATACAAGTAAGATCGCTCATGTTACTCACTTCTAATCTCTTGGTTAGAAGTAAATCCTGATTAAACCTTGTTTTGATCAGGTATGCTACTCTGAAAGTAACACACACAATAGGTAAACATCCCACATCTGAGGCAGATATACTTCCATTCCCTCCCAAGTGAAATTGTGCCTGCCTGTGGTTGTCATTTTGTCAAGCTGGCCATGTGTGTGTACTACCTGAGCATGCCCCACCTTACTATTTTAGGAGCAGCACTGAAGAGCATGCAATGGCACTTTGGAACCTGTTAATTACTCTGAACTGTTCAGAGGTTTCTGTCTCCTTAACAAAGCTTGAGAGCAAAAAGATTGATCAATGAAAACCATTTGTTCAGTCACATTGTAGTGGTCCCTGTAATTTGCCAGCTTTAGAATCCGAATGCATTGCTTTTATGATCTGAGACTAAGTAAAAGGTATGCCAGTGGGGAAAAGTGGAACTCAAAACATGTTTTCATTTCCATTAAAAATCACAAAACCATTTAAAATTTGTATTGCCTTAGGGTAAGAGCTAGTTTGGTGCAGGGATGAAGGCAATAGGCTAGAAACTAGGAGACCATGAGTTCTAGTCCTGCTTTGGATATAAAGCCAGCTGGGTGACTTTGGGCCAGTTACTATTTCTTGGACTTAGGAAAGAGGCAGCCTGAAGACTGTAGCTGAGAAAACTGTAGAGAATCGGACACGAACTGAAGAAAATTAAAGGAGGAAGTTTAAAAGTAAAGTGTCTTGAGTAGAACTCAACATCTTACGGCATGTAGTCATCTTAACAATAGTAAGACATGTAGTCAGTTCCATCACTGCGTTCGTTCAGTTTTTTTTTTTTTTTAATTTACCTGTCCAGCCTTCCTTCCAAATATTAGCTAGATCTAACCAATGGTATTTACCCGTAATTTTTCCAAGATCAACCAAGTCTGTCTAGGAATTGCCACCTGCTGTAACCAGAGAAATTCAAGACAGAATAGGCATGAAAGTAAATTTACAAAGGTTGGAGTTCAGTTTTAAAGGTTTTCTTCTCAGCTGAGAAAAGCAAGTCCTGTGAAGAAGTTGCAGACTAGGATGGACACCCTCTGCAGCATGAGCTGTCATACACGATGTGTACTTTCCCCAGGGCAAATGGGACTGTATATAACTGTTCACAAGACATCTACCGGCAGGATAGATGTTTCGTGCTGTTGCTTCACTTAAAATCTAAGCTTCTACCTGTTATTGAAGGAAGGCTGGGCTTATTCAATAAAAATCTAATACTTGGCAAACAGCCTCAGAAATTAGGCCTGGCAATGGGACAGGTTTCCCCAGTCATTGGGGAACAGGGCTTGAGAAAAAACTGTCCTTTTGTGCCAGTCAGAATAAATCATGCAAAGCAAGCAACATTTAGACGTGGAACATCCTAGTGTGTGTTGTTTGCTTAGTGTTTGGAGGTTCCAGAATTTAACTTTACTGACGCAAATCCCTGACAATGTCCTCACGTCAGTATATATATAGCTGAGGTCATAGTACTCTTCATTAAGACCATACACTGAAAAGGATTCAAGTTCCCGGTCACGGAATTTACTAAGCTAAGGAACCAATTTTTTTTGTTTTAGTCGTATCCCCAATCTTGCTATGAAAAATGCCTTCTAATATTTAGGAGAGAGTTTTCAACTTGTTCTTGTTCCCATCATGTTTCTAAAGTAGTTTGATTAGCCTCTGATCTATCGACCATGCTTGATCACACATCGTTGGGCAGCATTAGATGAACCATGGGGTGGAGGGGGGAGGGGAATGCTCCTTTGCTTGACCTAGCTGAACAATTTCCACTATTCATGCTTCAACAATGGCATTTTTGTTCTGGTTAACATAGCAGTGAAAACACCAGGCATGCTGGGATGCTGCAAGGAAAAATATATTGAAAACCAATGAGATTTTTACAATTTTAGTCCCCTATTGTTATGTTCTATGCCATCTTACTCATCGGAGCAGAAGCTATGCTGTGAAGTTATAAGGAATTGTGGCCTCCGAGGAATTGTAATCCTAGTCCGTATATCTATTACGTGGCCTTCTTAAAGAAGCAGGGTTGGTGCAAGTTAACTA